CCCCTAAGTATATATTGCTACTAGTGTTCGTCTACCAAAAGTTTGAGGTCTAAAACGAGTACCTTTACGTTGATTCATCGCAAGGACTATTCTGTTATGGTGGAGCACGGTCTCATTTATTTGAAGCTTCACGCCAAGCAGCAATCGTCTCCTTCTCGAGGTCCTGAAGTCTTTGCATTTCAGTTAGTAGTCGGGGATCAGGTCTGAATCGAAGATCTTGCATGTCGAGTTTCTGCAGGAGATGAAGACCTTTAGAGGAACGCAGTCGAGATAGCTGCACATACATCGAGCAATACTTCCGGTGACGATCCTGTCCTCGGATCGTGGGGTCATCTTTAAGGTCGAGGATCGCAGCCACAAGGGTCGAGCCTTGCACTTTATAGTCGGTAAGGCTGAAAGCGGGGCACATGGGAACTTGCGTTCTACGGACCGAATAGCCTTTCAGGGTGATAGATCGCTCTAAAGGAAAGACTGGCAGGACTGAAGGTTCAAGGTCTTGAAACGCAGTGGGTTTGGGTCTGTCCGGTTTAAACAATATGCAGGCGGGTGGTTTGGTGCACATGATATAGAGGTCGTTGATTTGGAAGAATTCGGCTAACAGAGAGGTGTCAGGCAACGTTCATGACTATTTATGGATGACAAACGGACCAGTCTGATCTATCACGATGCCTACAGCAGTCCCCGCAGCACCATTGACCAGGCCGAGCAGGGTACAGATGTTAGTCAGTACGACTGCAGGCATATTTGGGGTGTACAGAAAGAGTCCCGGGAAGGGGATCTTAGTGCCTTGGTCCGGCTGCTGGAGCAAGTCGTCTGCATGGAGCCGCAAATTGATTGGGCCAGTAGACTTGGTTCGCGTATGAAGCGCAGGAAATATATAGACATTTTGGCATCGCGTGTGTGCGAATTGCTCTATCCGAACGCGATTTACCTGGTGTCGCAGAGAGTTCAACTTGACTATGGTGGTGGCATCTTGCAGTTGAGGGCTAGCCAGGGATGTGATGGTTTTGCTGTTGAGGACCGTTCGATCGGCTTCAGTTAAAGTCCCTGCCCTCGCTCGCGATAGGAGGTCACGAAACGGAGCATCTTCTGACTGTCTCATTTGCTCGTCTAAGATGATCACCTGTTTGAATTGATGCCAGAGAAGCCGACCGTTCTCATCCTCACCCACTCCCCTTCGTGGTTCCTTCCATAGTGCCGGGCCGCGAACAGGTGGAAACTGAAAAAAGTCGCCGATAAAGATTACGATGGGAAGACCACCGAAAAGATCAGTAGAGGATCTATCGAGAGATTTGGCGATCTTGCAGTGATTATCAACCACGCTAATCATGGTCAAATCCATCATGCTTACTTCGTCCACGAACATGACGGTTTTACGAGACCAGAGTCGCCTCACTCGGGAACTCATTGCAGTTCCTCGTGAGCGGTCGATGGAAATCCCGAGAGATGTGTGGTACGTATTGCCGCCGATATTATCGGCCGCGGCACCCGTTGGGGCCATGAGGATCACCTCGTGTTTCCGCCCGATCAGGCTCATACCGGCTTCAATTGCCTTGACGATCTGGCTCTTCCCCGTGCCGCCTTCACCTCCAACGTAGAGGAGAGTCTGCTCGCGCTGCGCTGAGTCATAAGGGTGGTCCGCCCAGACCAACGCCTCAGATAGCACCCTCTCCACGATCATCCGTTGTTTCTGATTTAGGGGGATCACTTCGATGACTAGGGATGTAAGAGAGGCACCAGTGGGATGCTGGCCAACCCGGAACTGGCGATCATCTATATCAGTGAACATATCGGAACTAGCCAGCACGAGCTGCAAGATGTTATCTTCAACCTGGACGTCGAAATCGTCAAGTGGAAGGCTGGATGTGGCAACCTCACGCTCTGTGGTTTCCTCATGATCAAGGTTGGCGAAACGTTTCAGTCGAGATTCCCATTCCTGCAAAGTAGACGATGGGACAAATTTTAGGCCGGATGTTTCGTACGCAAGAGTGCGTGAGATATCAAGTGGCTGAAGGTTTTGTAGATCTACGTTTCGAGTTTGGGTTGTCGCGCGGAGCAAAGGAGGGATCCGCCGCCCGGCTACTAGAGACTCTCGATGCCATGCTTTGCTGATGGAGTGGTAGGCTGCGATCAATGTCTCTGCATTAGTGTGTGCTGAACAGGGTCAACAATGCAGCAGATAAGAAGGACGGACCACTCCCAGTACCTGGTACGATGCTACCGTCCTCCGTGTAGCTGCCTGGCGGCAGCGATTACACGTCCTATGATACAACGACCGGCAGGGGCGTGCACATGTAGAGCACGAAAAATGTAGCGTCGAAAAGGCAGGAACAGTAGGGGAAGTTAGAGGCGGAGGTGGCCCAGTTAAAATATTACTCGTGCCTACAGTAGCTGAAAGCTGTCGGGCTCTGACCGCCCGTTGAGAAACCCTCCTGCGGCAATTGTCGCAGGACCGAAACTGTGTAGAGCGCCATGGTCTGGCGCAACCAGAGCAGAAAGAACGTTGCGCAGGAAGAGATGTCATTAGAGAAGAGATGACTTGAAACCAGCAAACGGCATCCGTTCCGAGGCGCACTGGGAGAGGAGCGACAGGAAAAAGTTGGGACCAGCGAGAAAGATCCGTGTTGATCATTCATATAGTAGAAGTCGAACACGTCACCGTGCGCATGAGTGCATAATAGTACTATCTGCAGGATGCTCAGGACAAATAAGGGTGGAATCATAATAGAAAGGCGAGAAGGCCGGAACCCCACCGACTCCAAGACTAGCGGGAACACCGGGATCCCTAGACACGGAGAAAAAGCAACAGAGGCCGAATACGAATTCGGGAAGCACAAAGCCTAAAGAGGAAGGAAAGGAAAGTAGGTGAGCAGCAATCAGAAGCGAGCGCGGAGAGACAGAGCAGCAATCGGAGGAGAGCCTGGAGAGTCGCAGCAGCAAACGAGAAGAGCGTATTGGCAGTCAATAGGAGCATTCCTTGGCACGAGAAAGCACCAATTAGCAACGAAAAAAACGAAGAGTTTGGCAGTGAGAGGCCAGCAAAGGTTGGCGGGCAGCTCGCGCAGGGTTGTAAACCCTTTCACTACGTTCCTTCGTTTCAGGGCAGGTTGGCGGGCAGCTCGCGCAGGGTTGTAAACCCTTTCACTACGTTCCTTCGTTTCAGGGCATTTTTTTTGTCTCGTGGTAGACCCCACAATTGCAAAGATATCATAACAAGCAGTTGTTGTTAGTATTACAAATTCATCTGTTCCATTCTACACGCGTGGGAAAGCCCCTTGCTAAAGAAGTTTACTGTCCATGCTGTAGGCCGATTATGCGAGTTGTCCAATTGCCTTGACCAGTTACCTGAATATGGAACACCAATGACACAAGTTGTTGACGGGAAATTCGTCGCCTGTTTTTGCACTACCTACTGAATTAACGGTGGAGATGGCCAGGTTGTCAAGAGGAGAAATGATCGTCTAAATATTTGCGACGGCTGTTGACAGCGCAAGTGGAAATGCGGCGGCAAGAAGTCAACGTGCACTCGGTGTGAATGTCTGGACCTAGCAGCATTCGTTTATTCCGAGACTCCAAATCGTCACTAAATTGTTGAGTGAATGGGCCAACTGATCTCGTTCAGCCCTTTCAATTTTTTACCAGGCCGCGTTCAAGAAGTTACTTTTGTTCATATGATCTTAGCGGGCGGTTGTTTTAATAGAAGCCACCTAAGCTACATGGGTAATAACCCCCAGTTGACAGAATACACAGCGATAAAATCAGGACAACAGCACGGCTATCCTCTACCCTGGTCGAAAATGTGGCGGGGAAGCCGGAATACATAATTTTCCGGTATGAAAATGAGCAAGGCTAGAATTACACAATGTTATTGTATAGTAAATCATGGGTAATTTAATGCCCTACCTTATGTAATAGCGATGTTTGATGGCAATTTGGACGTCTAAATTAAAGCAAGACAGAGACTGATTGAGGGTCCTATAGTAGTAAACGGGCAACCAATTAGTGGCAGGGAATGGCGTGTAGATTCGATGACATGAACAATCAGCTCCGGGGTTTGAAATACGCGGTTTTCTGTATTTACTCCTTTTACGCACCAAATGCTCCGAGGGTCTTAGAAGAGGACCACATGTCCCTCTTGGCCAAAGTAGCCAATTTTTCAGCGTGTATGTTCTTGTTAAAGCCTATTAAAACTTTGAGGCCGGTTATTCAGTTCAGCCATTCGCTTCGTATCCAGTACAACTTTCTTTTGCAGCTTCAGTAAACACACTAGATCACATGATCAGATGTTGAGCACTTGCGATGGCAAATTGAGGGTGGTGATCTGGGGTGACCATTTGGTTTATTTGCTCATTTTACCTCCAGAGTATTTGCGCCCTCCATCTAAACAAGTATGGTACTAGACTCCTCAGCGGCACCTTCTGCCTTGGGGGAATGATTTACACTCCTTTCAACGGTGATGATACCTACCGGCCTGAATTTTGCCTGATCTCTTGGAACGGACTCCCTCGTATGCCCCTACCCCCGGTTACTTGATCCGTGAATGGACGCCATCGGTAATTTGCCCTTCACCTAATCCCGAGGGTATACTTGTTGAACATCCTCCCGCATTCCATCGACAATTATCCGATAAACTGGATGTTCTTCCTGCAGTTGAACATGAAGGCGGAAGTACATGGATAATCTCAAAATTGTATTCACTACCAGGTTAAGTGGAAAGTCACTCTCAATAATCAGGTTGTTAGGAAGGACACAGAACAAGACCTGACTCAGCCACCAAGATCTTACTGGCAGCAGTTGAAAGAGAAAGCTGGACGTCTTCTACATCGGAAAGTGGCCTGTTTGGGGCTGAGCTATTCAACATTTACTCAAATGTTTCAAGACAGCGCCCATACATGGGCACTTTTGCATCGCTAAGTTACGCGTTCCAGCTTGACAAGGTCGTCACTCCTGAGAGAGCGTGCTTTAATCGCTTGTGAGATTTCCATTAAGGTCCGAGCCGCTCAATATTGAATTGGCGCATAAGGAGACATAAAGTTGAACGGGCCACAGGTCAAAGCCTGTAGAGTGGCAGCATTTCTCAGTAGTGGTCCTTCTATTTGCCCATCTTGCGGAACATCCACTTGAGACCTGAGTGGCTCATCTATTCGCTGCGCTCCCTCATCGATGAGTAATTGAATAATTTTTTCATCACATCCATTGTGATCAGCCCAGTTGAGCACAGTATTCCCCTCCCGGTCTTGAGGTTCATTAATCTGGACCTTGACTCCCACGACAGCCAGAATAACCTTGACCATCTCAATATTTGGTGGTTGAGACCGTACTGCAATCATCAATGGCGCCCGTGCATATTCATGGTTGATATCGACTCCCGGGACAGCAAGAAGTAATCTGACAACCCGTACACTTCCAGATTTCAAAGCATCTGGTATGGCCACCATGGCCTTATTACTGGGGCTGTGATTTTGTTCCTTTCGTGAGCATACCCGTGTCTCAACCTTCCCATCCGCTCTTTCCACCCTGTCTGTAACTTGGGAATAGTGATGCATCATCTCATCCAACAAAATCTGGGTCATTTCCGCATGACCATTCTTCGCTGCACATTGGAGAGGGTTCCCCCGTGACTCCGGACATGTCCCTCGCTCTATGAGCAGGCGGGCAATCGACAAATGACCTTTTTCCGCAGCGCACGCAAGGGGGTGTCGATTCTGAATCAGACCAGAGATACTCGTACAATCTATATTCGCATTATATTCAAGTAGGGTCCTAACCAACTCATCATCATGCCCATTCCATGCCGCGAGTGACAAAGGGAGGCGGATTCCCCTGACTGAAGATAGATGCTCGCCACGCTCCTGCAAGCCGATCACTCACATGGCCATCTGGGCTTGCGCCATTGTGAAGAAACAAGCGAACCATGGCAATCGAGCCAAAACCCCTGGCGGTAGCCCAGTATAGGGCACTTCGATAATCATAGTCCAGAGAATCGATGTTGGCACCGTTTTCAAGAAGCAATTGTATGACAGAAATGGCACTGTCTTCCAAAGATGGCATTCCAGTCGCCGCCGGTTCAAGTTCTAAGCCTAATTTGTCCTGTGGGCCTCGTACTGCCCAGATCAGTGCCGACTGCCCAAAAGCTCGGTCCTTTGAATTCGGATTGACACGGTTTGTCTCCAGTAATGATCTGACAATATTGAGGTGAGCCCCTTGTGCGGCATATGACAACGGTGTTCGTCGGTATGGGTCAATGTTATCTGGATCAACTCCTTCCATAGACAGGAGAGTTTTCACAACACTTATCTGTCCGCGCTGCGCGGACAGTGAAAGCGCATCGTTCATATGTGGCAATAACATTTCTAATCCGAGATGGCCATTAGCCTCCAGGAAAAATTGCACAACCTGGTTGTGACCATTCTTCGCTGCCCAGTAAAGAGTTTGTGCCTCATTATCCCGGTAGCTCTGGCGATAAAGCTCAGGCATGACCAAACCATAAAGACCGTGACATGTTTGTGCGAGATGAGCCACGTCGCCTTTTGATGGCGTGTATTTGATAATGACCAGAATTAGCTCCGGGTGATGATCGAATGAAGGCATAGTGAGAATGTTGTCGGAAGACTGAAAGCGTGTAAATTGGCGTCAGAAGGATATAGCTGGACTTTGCAAATGGCGGGGAACTTGAATGGACTGAGAGAACCGGTGGAGAAGCAAACAAAAAAATCCAACAAGATTCGGGTAAATTGAATTCTAGTGACATTTCATTGGTCAGCGAGCCTTTCTTGGTATCTTGAAAGGGGCTTCAATCTCATGTACTAAGTGAACGGGTAAGCCACGGTTTGGACGGCTTGGACGGTTGAGTGTATACAAGCATTACACCGTTTTGTCCACTTGAGACCTTTTCTAAAATTAACTATTGCTCAGCAGGCTTCCACCGCCACCCCATACTCGCTACCCGCGCCGCAAAGAGAATCCCACACCCTAGAAGCAAACATGTGCCACCCCACACCTGTGCCCCAATATAGTCCCGTCCCCGACCTGAATCAACCTGCCCGCCAACGGAGGTCCGGTCAAGCATGGGATGCTGATAATGGTAAATACCATACCAATTCTGGTGCCGCTTTTACTCAAATCTTGTGTCAGACTAGCGAGAGTCGAGGGAAAGAGACCCTGAATGCTGGCACCAAAGAATCCAAGAAAAACAATCCAGACTATATCAGATGCGAGGGATTGCACCGAGTGCCATATGTAGACACTTAAACCAGCAAGGAAGATGACCGGAATGAGTACCGTAATAGCACCGAAGTAGCGATCTGCAAGCAGGGCTGGAATGATGCGACCTGGGATTCCAACGGCGTTGAAGATAAGAAGAATGCTATACGATGTTGCTTGTGATACATGTAGGTTATCGAGGGCGTATGGACGAACCTATTGGCCGTTATCAGCATGGAACCCCAAGGGGAGAGAATTAGTCTTCATATTAGGGCAAAGGTCAACTCACATAGTAATACGCAAAGTATGTCGCCCAGAGCGTGAAGAACATACTGACAGTAAATAGTAGATTGTGGTGAAGTATGTTGACACTGACGCAATTGTTGGGCAGAAGATGAGGCCATTGCCCAGGCCCTGACACACACCCTGGGCTAGAAACACCTGCCAGTACTTTGTGCAGAGACTCGTCACGAACACGGCCACTATCTGCATTGCACATCCGATCCACAAAACTGGCCGGTAATACCCGGTATCAAATGCCCGCCCTGAGACTGAGCCGATAAAAAAGATGAGGAACACCTGGACACTACCAACCCAAGAGATGGTGGAGGCAGGCAGGGAGAGCGATGAGGCGTAGTAGGCCTGGAAGATGCCGAAGCTGTTGGCATAGCCCCAGGTATTAAACACGACAAGGTGGCCCGCGAGGACTTGCAGCCAGGCCACAGGGCCGCCATTTGGTGGTGGGTAGTTGGACTTTGGCGCATCATGTCTCTGTTCTGTAAAAGTGTGTAATTTAGGCCCTATGGCGGCGGTATATGCATACGCTTCTTCTGGAAGAGAACAAGAGGCTCGAGAGGCCGCTCTGTGCATTTCGATTTCGGATTCTGTGCTGGCCATCCCGACCGCTGACATCACAAAAATGGGAAGGGATAGGAGTAGTAAGGGAAGACAAACAGTAGACTCGGTCCGCTTATTGAACGGCACTGGAGGCACAGGGATGGCTCGATCTTCTTCGCATCTAGCACTTCACTTAGGAGTCCCAGCACCTCGGTTCCACTGGTCGAACACTGAGATCACAAGAGATAAGCAACTGAGACCCTGATCGACAGTTGGTCAAACCTTCCTAGCCGTGCCGCACAGCTCGACCAGGGCTCCGGGACGGAATTCTTTCTCCTTTCATCCCCGTATGCAGCGCCCTAAAACCCCTCGATCCAGACCCCGCTTTGCATCAAATGTAATTGGCCACGCCAGTCGACTGGGGGTCGAATGTAACGGTAAACAGGTCGGTGAGATTGCGGGATTAGATACTGACTATCAGCAAACCGCCCCCACTATCTTGACACACAGACCCCCGGCGTGCCTGCCAGTATTGACACGTCGAATGACAGGATACCCCACAGCCACGTTGAAGGAGGATTGGAGGACTGCTGCACCCGCGTACATAAGCTAATGTTTATGCCGTTCAAATATGACAGCAGGATTGCAAGCACAGGTGTTGCACCGCAATCTTGTAGTGATGTCGCCTTCACATCGCCCCCAGAATCCGCAAAAGTTGACTATCATCTTCTCGGTTATGGAGTTTAAGGACACATTAATTAAATTCTTATCCGCGCTGCTAGAGGCGATTGAGTCAAGACCAGACGATTTGTGTCCTTTACCCATCTGTCTTATTCTTGGCCCAGCCAACCGACATCCTGATCGAGTTCAGTCAGAGTCGGAGTTTGACCCAGCACACAAGCCGTATACAAACGTTTAAGATGCATGAGATGATACAACAGTAGTTAATGCTCCGTCTGAAGGGCGTAATACTGAATAGCTGCATCATCTCTGGTTCTGTTAATCTTCAAGTTGTTATGCCCTTGTTCGAAACAAGCTTATCTATCCTCTAGAGGGCCGCATGACGGATGAGCAGCGCTAGTATTAGCTTTGTTGACAAATCTCGAGCTAAAAAAGGAGCTCCAGCGAGAGTTGGACACAGTAGCGGAACTCTCTGCCGAAGCCAGGAGCACATCAGACCATGACGACGACGATATGGCCTCAATAAAACTTGAATCTGACAAAGAGTCCAACGGCGATTTCAATGACATTGATGTGTGGAACACCAAACCTGATTTCGGCATGGATGATGTGCAGGATTCATCAAGATTCGTCGGGACCTTATTAGGATACTGCCTCAATCTACTTATATCCGTATGCCCGGACTGCTGGAGATCGGCAAGGACCAGGCTAGCCCACGTGTAACTCCGAATGCTTCTGCCCTTGAGGTTCCGCGTTAAATCCTTGCGCAACTTCTGGCGCTCTCTGTCGTTATCTTGGCCCGGACGCAACTCCGCAAGCATTTGATCTACCTTCGTGTCGATAAACATGTCAATGTCATGCCGAATCAGAATCGAGTTCAGAGCGTGCTCATCTCGGATTGTGATAGAGTCCAAATTTCTGAACAGGCTTCGAAGCTGGCTCTGAATGGTCGGATATGGTCTACTCGTGAAGATAAACTTCAAGGTGTCAGAGCTCAGTGTGGCTTTGCACGCCTCCTTGGGGTTAGAATCTGAGCGTGTCAGTAATACTGCGCATCAAAATATCGGGCTGCCACTCACTATAGTATCGATTGTCGAACTGGACCTCCTCTGCCTCGACAATATTGTGTTTGTATGCGATATTATCCATTGTATTTCAACTAGCCCGTCGAGCCCGCCTACTCCGTACAGTTATTTTCTCTGGGAAAAAGCGATTGTCAGATTATGCATGAGAGAGTCTTGGCATCAGCAACTTCATATCTGTAGGCCGCCAGGACCGCAAGAGCTTTCATTACTCAAAGCCATTATAAACAGATTACTATCTGCAGCTCCAAGCCACCAATATATGAGGTTCAAAGATAGATTTAACAGACAGTTCTAAGGCATTGAGCGGTAAACGCTATATCTGGAACCACTCCCAAACCCATCGCACAGGGTTCTCCCACGTCTTTGCTCAGAATCTGCGGCAGGTCTCGGTGGCAAAGTTCTTAATTACGCATGGGGCGGATTTCCGCGCTCGGAATAGTCTCCGGGAGACGCCCTTTCACGCGGCAGCGCGGGGTTTTTTAATGATAATGTACGCTGTGATGCGAGAGATGAGCAAGTGACGACTGCGAACAAGATCAGGCTTCAGGATGAGATGATGCGTGCTCTGCAGGAGGCTGCCGGGGAGGATACTGCTATGTTGATGAGCCAACCAAATGCGGAGGGTAAAACTCCGCAGGACTTCCTGGAGGAGACGAGAAATCGGTGGCAGTGATGGGACCAGCGCATACCAGGCCCCAGAAGAGGCAGAGGCAGAGGCAGAGGGCAGCCAGTAGGACCATAATTACAGTTCCGGATGTTGGAATATCTGACTATGGAGGTTCTCTTGGCAAGAAGTTTTGTCATAAAAATGAGGTGTTTTAATTCTGACTCCCTGAAGAGGTACTTCTACAGCTATTTGTAGTAGTAAAAATACAATAAGCGAGAGTGCGACGGACCTGCAAGAGTTCCATGGTACAAAACATCTAATAAGCCCTATATGGTCGTTGCGTATGAATTCAGAGATGTTGAGGCCTCAGGCTCACTGAGCCAATATCTCAACACCGGAAGAATCTCTCAGGTCCTTGCCATACGTCAGTTCATTATAGTAAAAAACCAATCACAAGTGCTACCGGCCCCAGGCTATATGTTTACCAGTAATCACTACGATGAGCAACTGCCATAGCTCGAGTCGCAGTTAGCCGAAGAACAATAGTCACTCCCCGATCCACTTTCAATCTGGTCAGCCAATCCCATTTTGCATTGATCTAGAGCTAACTTACCAGTATCCGTACTGCCTGCAGCAATCTCCGAACTGAACGGGCTGGCCGTGGTGCGCTTGAAGAGCATTCGAGATCACCGCAAGATGAATTACTCGGTCCCTCCCACATTTTCAGTCCACAACTTGACTCATTCTATGCGCTCTGCATTCAACTTTGCGACGTTATCCGCAAGCAATTCACTGGGAACACATCGCATATGCAGCGAGTTCAAGCGTGAGTGGGAACGTGAAAATAAATGCCTCTGGTACATAAGATGTTGTCGCTAGTGATCGTGCGTGTAGTAGCATGCAGGCGGTGTCACCTGGAGAAATGCAGACAGAATAGATAATTAGCTGGCTGATCAGACGGTCAAGTGTGCACATTTGTACATGCATATGCACTGAGAAACTCAACGAGAAATATGTACCGGAAGACCATCCGGCAGAGCGTTCTGGGGGTGTGCTTGTTGCTGCTGTTGGCAGAGTTCGAAGTCTGCCTTTGTTGCGTAGCATATGCTGAATAGACTCCTGTAATCCTCGTCGTAGGCGATATTGCTCGCCGTGTGCAACGAAGGGACCATAGGTACTACTGAGAAAACTGGATCGCTGTATTCCGTCTGATATGTGGCAATTTCATTGTGGTTATTCGGGGTAGTATGGTAGAAAGGAGATTGGAAGTAGGCTGATTGCCGGTTAACGTCGCATGGGGACATCGAAGGATAGTAGAGGGCTTGTGGAGAGAATTCCGAAGGCTGGCGAGTGCATTGTTGAGCGAAAATGTTTTGGCGATCATCTGAACTCGTGTAGGACTCGCAGGACAAAGGTCGGTCCGATGAATGCGAGTTGTGAGGCTTGACATCTGCAACAGACTTAGACGTTCGCATCTTTGTTCGAGTTTTGGTCGCAGACAACTTTGTTAAAATTGGCTTTGCGTGTGATTGTTCCGGAGAAGCTGAACACGCAGCTTGTCTCTCCAGATTCTCCAGTCGGTGCTTCAGCTTCCTGCCTGTTGGGTCGCGGCAAGTGAGAAACATATACGAGACTGTCAAGTCAATAACGGGTACCTACGGTAGTTACGCTGAGCTATGCGGTTCTGAACGCGACGGCGCTCTGTGGGATCGGAAATTTTGGACCAGTCTTCATTGGCGTGGGCGTTGGGGCTGCATGTGCTGATATTGCTGTGACCACCAATAGAGCCTGGATGGTTATCGTGCTCAATGGACAAATGCATGGTGGAGACAGATGGAAGGGGGTCGGCCGTATGAGAAGTATAAGAAGGATGAAGAGTACAGAACTGTATACGGGGCCCCGAAACCAGTTTCAGCATTTCACCACTTCATTCTCTTCTCTCTCTTCTTTTTTTTTTTTTTTTTTTTTACCCTCCCTCTTTCGCAAACGTTACTCTGAAACAACGCTCTAGCCTTGTTATGGCCTAGTATATGTAATTACTCGAAATATGCTGTAAAGGGAAAATCACATGATGAGTGGCCCCGTAATTTTCCAGAAATAATCGTACGGTACCCTTTATCCGCATTCAGAGCATTCCTGTTCAGTGGAGGAGTCAACATTCTGGGCAAATATAACGGAGCGGCAATGTATACAGCAAATATATCAAATATGTATAAAGCTTGGAGGTCAGTGTGAATCAAGTGTATGAGATTAAGGCCGTTGTTCCTTCTAAACAGTAGCGGGGTACATTCACGATCCCTTTCGTCATCGAAATCTTCCATCAGTTGAAGACAGTAGCATCATATCGACAAAAAGTAACACAAATGTCTGGGTTTTCCTATTCGTTTGGTCGCTTCTATGCGAAGCGAGGGGCAAATTCCGATACCCCTGATACGCTAATACGCTCAACCATCGATGGCCCGTGGAAAACAATGATACTGGCCCTTGTAGAATTGGTGAGTAACGTGACGCCTGCTGCGGTCATGGTTTCCAAACAGGGCATTTTTGAAACGATCGCCCATCGCTTGATGAGCCGACCGGAGGAGTTCCGGTTTTTGTTGACGGGAAACTAGCCAACAATTGGAGGGACCGAACGATAGAAGCCCGATGCCACAGCCCTCACCTTCCCTCGTGTGGGTTAGGTTCACATCAGTAGTACTAAATTGGGGTTCATGCCAGCCAACACTGACGAGGTAAATGAGTCATACAGGAAATGAGACCCTAATAGAACGACAGAAAAAAGACAAACACCCTACCTTGGCCTGTGGATGCTCCCGAATCTAACTCCTGGCCTAAGCTAACCTATCGACTAGCAGATTATTGACCTTTACGTAGCCGTTGACACGACATCTGACCTTTTTCAAGCGCGGGTGGTGCCGTGCGGTCCGTCCGATGAGCTAAATTGATTCAGTAAAAAGATTTGATTGGACGACATGAACTAATGGATTAGTTGACATGCAAAACTATGAGATTGAGGGCATGTTGAGATAATTGAGATAACCATCGGGAACACCGAGATTTGCGGGTTGAATACCAGTCTCGCTGATACAACCGCTTTTTAGTGATGAGGGTTGATAGTGAATCTCTTTCCAGCCACACCTAACATGACATCCAGCACTTCTTGGACGCTTTTCAAGCCGCCCTCTTTCTTGGTTGGGGCGGGCTGGACCAATTCGTAAACTCCACATTTCACGTCAGTGCAAAACACCTTGAGATCTTGAATAACCCTATGTGAGTATTCGTCATGCAAAAAAAAAAAAAAATACGATGATAGTCATGTATTGTTCATCCTTCGTTTTCTTCCGCGGCGCCTGTCTATGGGCCTGTCTATGGGCCTTTGTGCGAGGATCTGTCGGAGAACGGGGTCGTCTCGGTTCTTGTCGACGTGATGCGCATGGACATGTCTGCACGAATGTGATTGTGAGAATTGGCCCATGTCAAATACAGGAGGCTCGGAAGTGTACTAACCATTGAAGATTGTCGGGTCGCGGGTATTTGTATTGCTGGTCCGGACAGAAAGGGCAGGCGTAGCCCGGGGAGCTGTTGACGAGGCCGTGGCGCACCATTTCGTTTTTGCGTTTGAAGCCTTTTCCGCCGTGGGCGCGCGGACATCCACCTACTGGACAGAAGTACGGGCGGTCTTGGGAGTGCACTCTTGCATGAAGCTACTGTTTCGTTAGGTGGGGGTTTTCATGGAGTTGTTGCTTTGGCTTACTTGAGCAGATACTGAGTTCTGAATGGCTCAGCAGCACACCCGGGAATCGTGCACTGGTGATTACCCACGGATCTCTCGTTAGCTTGTGAAGTGGACAAAGCAAGCGAGACATGGTCTCCCATGCTGGCGCCAGCGTGTTCCGTGCGCATCGAATAACCGGTGGCTGGGATTTTGACAGACCCCGGGGGAGCCTTGTGCTGGTTTCGGACTGGCATCATATCAAACCGGGGGTGTCCACGCCAGAAAGACGTCCGCGAGGCTAGAGGAGAATTGGTGGAGGCATCCTTCATATTCAACGCGGAGATCTGAGAGTAAGGACTTGCGGGAATAGAGCATTTCCCCGGGTACGGCCGGTCAAATGAGGAGCTGTTCCCTGAAGTTGTTGATTCGGGGCATGAGGACAAAGGATAGGGTGATGAGATTGTATTGACTGGCGGCGGGCCGAAATCTGACAATACGCTGAGGGCTTCGCAAATAGACGGTAGGGGCTGGCTGTTGCCGTTGCTCTGTGGGTATTTCGCAAGGATGGTTCCAGGGGGTGGTTGAATAAATTGTAGTGAGGGCAAGGTGCGTCGAGACTTGAGTTCCGAGAAGGTTTCGTTGGAATTATGGAAGCAAGCTGAAACTTTATAGCTTGCGTTACTGAACGCTTGATCGTGGATTCTCGTTGGCGGCAGCTCCATCTTGATATAGCTCTGTATTGGTGCTAATATAGACGTCAATCGGGAAGGTATCGTCTCGATCTTCTCATTTTCTGAGGCTGGGATTGCCTCCCGTTCCTTTGGCCGATGCCCCGGAGAAATAGTTGAAAATGGAGGTGACTTTCTCACATTACTAGTACCGAGGTCAGGCGGTGACTTTTGTTTCTTGCCAGGCAATGGCTCAAGAGCAGAAGCCCTTGCGGTCGCAGCAACCTCGGGCTGGTTCGGTGCTTGAAACCGCATCAGCACTCGGGCGCCCTCGCCGGCTGAGTTTTGTGGTTTCGGCTCGTTGGGCTTATGGTGTGGACCCGCTAATTCGACGTCTATTCCAGGGTCGGACTTCCTGGGGACAAATGATGGTGGTGACGATTTGTCCTCTTCGTAGTTGACATTTGTCGCCTCCATCGGCGGACACCGATTATAGACGTCATCCGAACGATACATAGAGGGCCCATAAACTAAGTGGCAATTTTATGAGCATCTCGCCTTATATCGGAAGTCGATTTTGACAGATTGAGTTGATGATCAAATAATAGATTTTGTTGTGATATGAGGCTGGTGCAGATCAGGCACCAAGCCGAACCATCGGAATTAATCCCGAGATATGTATACGAAGAACCAAGTTGATTTCCAATCAACTTGTTCTTCTCGTTGTATAAATAGTCTCAAGTTTCCCACTGAATAATAGATGAATCAATCTTCCTTTGAAATACAACAGCTTTGGTGATTGTCTGTAAGACGGTTAGAGGGCTTCACGTAATCGTGACACTTCCGGTGGTTGGATTCCCGTCAGGTATACACAGGATATCATGATAACGGCATGCAGCGCGTAGACTAATACAATGCGACTACACGTGGTTCTGCTGCAGAGTGTCGGAGATAGATGTGGGGTTGTGCTTCTATGGCCCAGTGTGGTAGGGGACAACAATACTATTTCGCAGTAGCGGATCTAATGTCGTTTCCTGTTGAACAAAAGGGGGGCGCCCCGTGTCATAGACACGGTCAAACAGCGGTATGAGGTGCAGGACTATTCAGGTGCTCCAACATTTTCATAGGGTGGTGAGTATCACGACTTTTGCGATCTATGCCACAGCCGGCCCCCACATTTATCGAAAATCCAAGGCTTTAGGAGTGGCCAAAGAGACTCAGTCTATCAGTAAAGTAATTAGCATTACACGATCGGTCACACCCAACATCACGATTGCCGCGGCGAAAGCCTTGGCGTTTGAGCTAGCCACGCCATATTCAACCTGCATAGAGTCCCAGCAATCCCAAATTGGAAGCGGGTTAAGCATGCAGGTAAACAAGAACGACGCGTGTGGAGTTACTTTAGATACTCCTTCCTCTTCTTCATAGCCATGATAGCTACCTGGTATGGATCTTTTCATGAAACATTTACCCGATGTATAACGCAATCACGAGCCATTACTGACAAGACTCCCAGACACCATCATTTGTCAGTCGAATTTACGATCTGGTCAATTCTAGGGAACCAAATGTCGGCTTGAATTTGGCTGGAGCTTTTGTCCTTCCTCTGCAGGGGTTTTGGAACGCCATTATTTACACATCCACCGCGCTCCCAATATTGAAGTCCCAGTGGGCTTCCAGGGTCACATCCAAAACACACTGGAGGCCACCTAGAGGAGTTGTTGAAGAGAGTGCTGATATTTCGCTCGAGGCGGGATTTGACGGGAGGTCTAATACAGGCAGCACACTATCTTTAGCGATCTCTCCACCAGTTCAGTTACAAAACTCTGCCAGTTCGAGATATACTGTATATGCAGGACTAGTTATCCACAAGCTGTGTATAGAGACTCATTTTTCTACTACGTACTTACAGTCCTCCGGGTTTCCTACGGGTGAGTAGGCCAACCATTCTGCCTGCAAGCGTGGTGATGTTGCAAACTTGGTAGCAGAAGGCTACATATTACAAAATACCCAGCATGGAATTGCGAAACCAAGCAAGGGAGATGATAGGAAACACTTTGCTGTTTCAACTAAGGCTGGAGGCTACTGTACTAGTTCCATTCACAGCGTAATAGATCTGCCAAAAATTGCTACAGGATGAGTTTTCATAAGACAATTGGTCCTTGTTCGAGTACCAAGAGGTGAAGTTATCCGTGAGAGATATATCCAGCTGCTCCTGCTGTATCAATGTGCGATTGAGTCGAAAATAATTGGCTATAGAGGTTCTTGTCACTTCCATCTATCTCTTATGCCTAAGGGTGACTGAGAATATCTGCGATGATAAGAATAGAGGTGGCTTGGTGAAGGGTGAACGGTTAACTGCAAATGATCGACAAACAGTCAGCAATAAATGGTAAGCAGCAGACGGTTAAGAAAATGTTAAGAACAAGTCAAACTGCAAACAAACGCACTAAGGATTCCTGGGGTCAATAACCGAAAAGCACCCCGTTTGCACATCAGTAGAAGGTCGGTCGTGCAAACACCCAGCCCCCGAAATTTTGGCCTATAATAAATTGGTCAAAACCTGCACGGCACCGTCGCATGCTTTGCCACTTCATATTTGTGCACAGCTAGTATCGTTGATTTGCCCGTGATTAGTATTCCCCCGAGGCCAATTCATGAGAGGTGTTTAAAACGATATCTAATCGGCGGATGACGAGTGGGGATGTTAAGTGGATCCATTCCTGATTTCAATTCCACGCATATCTTACACCTGCTGTCCAGGGTAGCAATTGAGCGGGCGGTGGGATAAAATAGAAATCATCCAGTTACACACTGCTGTGTTGACCAATCTCGTTTTTGCCCATCATCACCGATCAGGAACTGAATATTTCATTGTCTCGTGGTAGCCCCCACAATTGCAAAGATATTTGGGCGTTGAGGAAAGACGAGCAGTTATTATAATATGAATTTACAAGTGCATTGGACTGCATTTAACATGGTGGGGTGCAGTCTCTAAAACGGCCAATAAATTGCGCCTCACTAAGTCCGGCTACCTACCTGTGGCCCAGCTTCATACGTTCTCCATAGAGGGAAAGACACCAGGTTGCCATCATATCCTGCAGGATCGCAGCAGAGGAACCCAGCAAAGGGACTTGTTCACCACCAGCAAGGTTGACCGATTGCAGTCTTAGGGAAATATCATGTTGGGTCATATTTGTTGGCCTCTGCCCAGAACACTCCTCAACCTACGTTGCGTCCTAATGCACACTCTTAAATGCGAGTCCGTATATTACAGGCTCAATATCGTGTCCAAAATGGTCACGATTATTGAGATACGGAATTGTATTATATCGCATTTCGCAGTGTTTCGGGGTATTCTCACTCGCCCCGTGTTTCACCCTCCCGTGTCTCACTCCCTCCTCTGGATTGGTACGATATTTTAGAGGGCAAATGCGCCTCCAATCAACTACATTAACCGAAGACTAACGCCCCCTAGATGTAACCAAAGCCGAAGAAAGCAACGTCGGTCTGTGTAGGTTCTGTCGGAAGTGCAGAATAGGTATAAATTCAATGGTTCCACCTAGGGAGGAGTCCCATTTCTGCCATCATCCTTACCCAGATTCTTTGACGGAGTTTTGAGCCTGTTTCAAATGAAGTTTCTATATTATATTCAAGGACTTGTTCTTTCTGTGGCCTTAGCTGACTATTGCAACTGTGGAACTCAGTCCGCTCTTATGTTTCCAATCCTGAATGGGCACGTGATAAATGATACATATATTTAGTTCCCGTAGACAACTACGTTTTGACGAAGTCAATCGTGCCATCCTCCACAAAAAAGCAGACAGAGTAGAATCAAGAGTCTGTACGACCATCTCTTGCCCTTCGTGAGCATCGCGTTGACTTGGAAAAACGGAAACTTTCATTTGTTTAAATATCGCATGATGACGATACATCGATGCCTTTTGGCCCCAAGCCGTCTCAGGTATAAATGGTACATAAGTGGCTGAAGAAACCGGAAAATCCATGAGCGGGACTGTCATACCTGGCTGGCCAATAATAAGATTGAAAAAAAAACGTATGTAGCTCCGGTGGCAGTGCCCCACTGAGCCTCCGGATCCACTTTTCGGGGCTTGCTCTTTACATGTATTCAGTTCTCATTAACGAACTGGAGCCTTCAGAGCAACGACGGAGCTTCGGACATTAGCCTTGCATTTCACATCCAGGCTGGGACGAAGCACAGGGAAAACAGGTGTTCTACAGACCTGTTTTCGGTATTTTCCGAAGGTACAGAGGATTTCGAAAACAGTTTACCCCCCCCCCCCACACACACGATTTCTTTCCCAGAGACCCCCAAGGACGTCTATTCTGGATCCGCTGCGTTTCAGATTCCCCCGCAGCCAATAATACGGTGTTACGCCTCAAAAAAGGTACCTCAGCTAGCCAAAGTTAGATTAGCGCATTCTGAGTGGGGCGCTGGGAAAGATAGCGTATGTGTTTGGGGGGTAAACTGTTTTCGAAATCCGCTGTAACCAGGCGATAGACACTGACCTTGTTCATCTCTCACCCCCAATTGCTGAAGAGTGAACGATAAATTTCCCTTCGATCCACGATCGCACGACTTGAGGGCTATTCCTCGGCCAAATATAGATCCGTTTGTTTATGGAATCTGACATGGATATGTGAATTGTGCTATGAAACTGAGGCATTTACTTGATATTCGCAGATAACTAACATAGTAACGGGCATATAAAAGGGCACCAACCCTCGATCGAACCGAGAGCTGTATCAGAAGCACTCGAGAGTTGGATCCTCTTTGTGTTTCTCTTCTTTCTCTGTTTTTTTGCGACATTTCCATCCATCTTCTTACCAGTATACTAATATGTGTGGTAGAACCGTTCTGCCTTACTCCTGTGGGATATTACTGACTAGACATAGATACTATTCAAGCCACGGAGCCACGAGAGTGCTCTCAATATCTCAATCATGTTCAAGAGCATCTCAGATCACTTTGGATCCGTCCTCGTTTCCCTGCTAGCTATTCAAGGGCTATGCTCGGCATTTGCTGTCGAAACAAAGGAGACACTAGACCAAAGCAGTGAGAGTGAGCACGGCGAGCTAGCTGTCCGGACAAGCGATCAGTATACAATCGTTCATAAATGGCCCAGTGCAGGCGCTGCTGCGGTCATCGGAGCGAGTGGTGCACTCGGCTCTGTGATTACTGGAGCTGTTGGCAACTACTTTAGTTGGCTTGGTAACCAACCGAACGCGGACAAGATTTGTGGCAAGTCAGCGATAATCTCCGTCACTGAAAATGGAGTTGGGTATAAATATTATGTGTATTCATACACGACAGGGAGCAATTGCGACAGCACTCAGCGAGCAAAGACCATCACCAACGCTCTCTCAGATGCATTCGATGAATTACACTCTGAGGGTGCCTCTGCAGTGTGCATTGATTTTGATCACCGCGGCACATGGCACGGAGTGATTGGTCTCGCCACCGATGCCTCAGGCCACGACCCAAAATCCGCTTG